TATATATATATATATATATATATATATATATATATATATATATATATATATTACATCAGCCTGGAAAATGAATTCCCACCCATTTTCCTCAAAAACCAAGAAATGGGGCTCGACAATTCCAACCCAAGAAATTGTTTTCCCTAGAAAATTTAGGAAATCAAACATACAGAAGTTGGAAAATGGGTATCAAATTCTATTGTCCATGAAAAAGCACCAATCAAACAGGGCCTTAGTTCATTTAGATTTTTCTAGACGGAGTAATGATTTTGTCAAAGTGCTTAAGTCTAATCCATAAAAAGAACTTGGTCGAAGGTGGCTTCCTCGAGAAGTTTTTCTACAAAGTAAAAGCTCATAATAAATTTTAAATTTATTGAGAAAGACCCAAAAGGCTGTTAGGACTGGATAGAAACATTTCTGTTGCTAGAGATAAATTCAAACTCGTTAGTCTAGTAAGGTACAAGCATACAACCTTTAACCAAAAAATAAAAAAATAAAATTAATTCTATATGCACCACGCTCGACTGTAAATAGTAAATAAATTTATCATTTCTTTGTCATTTGTCACCTACCAAAAAATTTGCGTAATAGATAGCTATGGTGAAAAAGACGTGCAGCTCTACCAACACATTTGAGCGTTTCTATGTTCATTTGACTCGCGAATTCTAAATTTTCTTTCTCATTCATTTTGTGCGTGCACTTTTCTGTCTTCTTCAACTCGCTTTTGCCTTATAATTACTATGGTTGAACCTAGGGTTAAACCAAGAGTGAGCACAGCCAGTATTCCGGAGCCAATATAGACTCCAGATTTGACTATGTAGCACTCACCATCTAACCATCCTTCCCCAAAGGGCTGACTTCTGCTCATGCTGGTGGCTACACTTACTAGAATAACAGCAATTCCAAAGGTAATCCTGTTACATAATTTAATACCAATTATTAAAACAGTTTCAATATTTAAATTGTATATCTCAGAACTGACTAAGAAATCCTAGTATTTCCAGCTGTCCACGTTAGAAGGTTCTTCAACCTAGGAATTTTGCTAAAAAATAACTATACTAGTTGAACAAGTCACTAAAAGTCGTTTCCACTTGCCCCGTTAGCCCAGGTTTGATTTATTAAAAATCAAATTTTAGTTAATTTCTATAAAAGTTGATAATTGCTCGTGATTCAAAAGTTGATAAAAATTGTGGTTCCATAAAATGTGTAATTGAAAATGAGTTTAAAAAATAATGAATTTTAAAAAATGACAGACTAAACAAAAACTAAGGCCTCGTTTGGTATCCATTTTTGTAAGAATAAGAATGAAAAATATAGCTGTCACGGACTCTCACAAGAGATAGAAAGTCAAATATGATGGCTTGATATGATGGATAACGGTCATATTTTTCATTTTTGTGGCCAAAGAATGACAATCAAACGAGGACAAAATAATAAACTATTAGAAAATTGGATGAGTGGAAACATTGGTGGTATGCTCGGCATGGAAAAATTGTTGACATTCTTGATCTGTCGAAATGAAGAGAACTCGATTAAACAACAAATAAAATTACAATATTTTTCCCTTTATTTTGTGCGTCAAAGTGTAACATAGTAACAAACATGGAGTGAGTGGAGTGGAGAAAAGTAGGCGTTGGCGTTGGATAGAGAAGTAAACCATTTGATGAAAAACAGCTTTTCTTTAAGCACGAATAGTATTCGCATGCGATGAAAATAAAGATTTACTTGCCATGAGAAAACCAGCAAAATGGAAGCAATTGAAGGCCTTTTTATTTTGTTATCACAACCACTCCTATGATCTCTCCGACTAAACTTTCTGCAGATGAACAAGTTTCCGATGACCTGACCGGCGAAAAGGTAGATTAAGGCGGCTATTCCGAATCCGAAAGCTGGGCTTCGGTGCAAATAACAAAGCTTCTCATCAAACCTCAGATCCTTTTTCTAAACAAAAATTGAATCACATTTCGATTATGAAAAATTGGGAACTATATAAAAAATTGGTTCAAAATTTACCTCTGATTTCCTGAATTCAGCAGCAAGGCAGAAAGAGAAGGAGATAAGGCCAAGGGCAATTATAAGAGAGAAAAATAAGACAAAATTGAATTGGTTTTGTCTTTCCATGAAGGATTAATTTTCATGGGTTTTTGGTGAAAGATAAATAAGATTTGAAGAGGGGAGAATAAAGAAGAGAAGAGGCGGCTTGGAGTTTACTTAAAGGAAAGAATTGTTTGGTGGAGGTTTTCTTTTTCATTTTTGGTTCCATAGATTTTTTTTCATTTCTTGATTGTCTTTGGTCAGATTTTGGATCACTGTATACGGGGCGGATGCTTACATTTTACATTAGAGGGTCACAATTAAATTAAAAAAAAATGATAAATTTTTTTATTATTTTATATGGGTTATAAACTGTAATACTACTTTTTTATTTTGATTATTTTTATATCTAAAATTTTTTTATATATATAAAAAAATTTGATCATTTTTAGGATTTTTTTTTTATTATTGCTACGTTTTTCCTCTCAATCAATTATTTTTTTTAAAAAAAAATAATGTAATTAATTTCCTAATAAAATTTTTGACGTCATTTGAAAAAAAAAAATTAATTGATTGAGAGGAAAATGTAACAATAGTAAAAAAAAAAAAAAAATTCCTAAAAATGATTGAATTTTTTTATATATAATTTTTTTCAGATAAAAAAATAATCAAGATAAAAAAGTAGTATAACAATTTATAACCCCTATGAAGTAATAAAAATTTTATTAAGAATTTTTACGTCAAAAAAAAATAAATTTGACGTCATACCACATAAAATTTCATAATAAAATGATGTAAATTATATTGAAAAATTTTTCTCACAAAAATAATAAACGTTAATAAAATAATTGATTTTCTTTTTTAAAAAAAGATGAGTTATACGTCTCTTTTTAGCATACACGTTTAACGTACATTTAACTATTTTTGATATTCATTTGATATGTTTATGATATAATTCTCGAAATGAGTTTCGAGAAGATATAAGAGATTTATGGATATGACTAGTGTATAATTATCGAAATTTTTTTAAAGTTAGCTTATTATCGAAATTCTCGAAATATTAGTTTGGAACTGCCTATTTTGACGCGTTATAATATTTGCTACGATTGGTCATTTCACAGAACTTAACGACATGAAAATACTAGGCTGTGAGTACTTCAAAATGAGTTTAAGCCCTTGTTTGAGCCACATTATATTTCTAAGAATGCAATTTTGAATAGTGTATCGATGAGAAATATGTGGTTAAAAATAAAGAAAAGTTTTGGATTTGTGTTTAAGATTATTTTATTGAAAAATGTGTGATTGAAATGATGTCAAATCACTATTTAAGAATGTATTTTTTTGAAAAAATGTGGCTCAAATATAGCCTAAGAATGTAATATTTCAATTTCGTTTGATATTTCATAGTGAGCCCGAAAACTAAGACAAAAAAAAAAAAAAAAAAAAAAAAAAAAAAAACGAAACAAAACATTGGAGGGTCAAGTGACCTAGGGAACCCCTTGGGTCCGTCCCTAACTATATATTAGGGAGGTCAACTCTCAACTGCTTCAATGGTGGCTTGTAGAACATAAAAACAGATAGGTTTGTGTGGGCTGGGTCTATCTTGGGTAATACATAGGGGTGTTATATGAGTTGTGCCGAGCTAACTGTCGGGATCGACTCGACCAGTCGCACGAGCTGGTTTCGCTACGTTAGATGCTCGGCTCCGTTTACTATTTGTCATCATTTTTTTTTTAGTGAAAATTACATTTCACTCACAATCTACGACTCAATTCACGAGCCGAAGCTTGCACTAGTATTTTGCTACTTGGCTATCTAGTGGGACAAGTAGAAGAGCAACTCGCGTAATATATCATTCAATTTCTAAAATTTTTTGGAAAGTGTCTTATTTGATATGAACATTTGAAAAATGGGTTAAATAGAAAGGGGTGGTAGTTTTGGAACTTTCAACGAAATTCATATTATTCATGCACTGTATTTTGTTTCGAGCTGTCATTAATTTTAAATTTTGTTTCAAAAATATTCTCTCTCTCTGCAATTTAATTAATCAAAAAATAATGTAAATTATTTGTCAACTAGATTGTTATGACAATTTTTCTGATAAATATGAATGTAATTTAACATTTAATATTATCAGTTCTCATTTAAATTTACATGTTAATTTATTTTAAACATATTACTATAATATCGATAGGTAAATCGCATATTAAAATCAAATCAAACTGCAAATAATGTTTGCTTTGATTTGAAAAAATTCCAAATCATATGAAATGATTTGAGTTAAAAATATAACACAAACTGAACCGTGTTCACCCCTTTATTAATGAAGTGGGTTTTGGCCTGTAGCACATTAAAAGGTCAAAAAAGTTGGTAAATAATATATAGCTCCCGTTTGGTCTTCATTAAAATTTAATTTAATTTTTTTCTTTTCTATTTTCAAACATACAATCTTCCATAAAATAATATTACACGTAAATCGAAAATTTTTCTTCTTTTTCAACCACTCATTTAAAAAAATATATATATTCCACATATTTTAATTTGGAAAAATGGGGGCCAAACGAGTGCATAGTGTGTATGATTTTGACACCATTCATTGGTTTCGGAAAACACCCAATTAGAGTAAATAAACATCTGTATATAGGTTGATCCATAATTTTTCAAATTAAATTCCCCCTAAAATGGAAAAACTGAAAAAAATTGATTAATAAACTCTCTCTTTCTTTTTCTTCTTTTTTTCATTTTTATTTTTTTGGAGAAACTTACACATGGCTATATGAAATAAGGAAATTAGGCTAATTCATGCATTTACTTCTTAAAATTCAAAAATCATGTATTCCGTAAAGTATTTCTCCAAATTTGGTTTTGAAAAAAATTTAACCTAACATTTCCTCCTCTGTGCACACTCACTCTATCGTTAGCTCCAAACATTCCTCCCTCTCCACTCTCTAACCATCACCACCGTACTCGCCACCATCTCTTAATAAATAAATAAAGTTCAAGCCATCACAAAATTCATAAACAATCTGCATCATTGTCGTATCCACCTCCACTACCATTAAAAATCACACATCATCCCCACAAAAGTAGCATATTTAATTTACTTATGTTGAAGGGGTAATCGTTGTTGGTACGATGATGATAGTAACCAAAAGTGCTGGGGTGCGTTGTTGCTTTATAAAAACATATATGAACAATATGGACTTGCTTTTTAATTTCATAAAAGGTAAGGAACAAAAATGAGACAAAATATTGGTAGGGGACGTGATTGATTCTTTTATGAAAGTCGGAACCATATATGCAAATTTTCCTTAAAGGAAAGTGTATGCATTTGATGTGGCAAATTGCCAAGAGGACGATTTGCACCAAAAATGAAATGGTATTGGACCATTTACGCCACTTTTAATAGGTTTAAACCATTTAAGCAATGCGTGCAAAGGTTTAAGATCTTTATTTGCCAATTGCCCTTTAGTTAATATTCGGACAAAACTCGCACGTATATAGAATTGCCTATACAGTGACATGAGAATTGAATTGCCGCATAAAAAAAAAATATAGCCCCAAAAATATATTACAATATCAATTCGAATTTAATAAAAAAAATAAAACTCTCGATTTTATTATTCCACTAATAAGTTAAATTTAACTGAAAAAAGAGGTGATTTTTATGATTTCAATAAATCATGGTTGGACTCAAAGCCCGAGATCCAATCATTAATTTTTAAATACTTGCATGAAATATGATTTGAGTATTCGATCTGCCACATAAATTTCACACCTTTTAGTACTCAATCAACTATCTTGATTTGAATATTTATTTCAAATAAGAATGAATAACGACTCTATGTTTTACAATTTAATTTTAATTTTGGTTCTAGTGGAGATTAAAATCAGCTTTTTAATTAATTTTGATAAAAAAGTGATGAAACGTTACGTTGAAAAATTGTGAACATATGAAATATTTGATTAAAACTAATTCGAATGATTTGGGTTTGGGTTTACTAAGTCTTGTGCTTGAGTTAGACTCGTGTAATACTATTACGGTGGTAGGATCATCCATGCTCCCGAGTTTACATTTCTTTTGAATACCAGTTTTCTTCTATTATTTTTTCTTTAGAATGACGTGTAATACTATTAGGATCGTCCATCCATGCTCACAAGTGTAAGCTTCTTCTGAATATCAGTTATTTTCTATTATTTTTTCTTTAGAATGTTGTTTTGTTAGGTGCGAGGTGAATGACATGGCACACGCTCTCTCCCTGAATGATTTAGCATGTTTCCATAAGAATTAGATTGAAAAACATCCGTTCTTTATTGGTGTTTCTATTTTGGCTGATATGTTGAATAAAATTAGTTGAAAACAAGAAAACAACTGTGGCCGATTAAGAGGACAATGAATTAACGATTAACTAGGTCATTAGAATCGTTATGAAGACTCACCCTTCCCGCTTCCCCTGGTAGGGCCGTCTTCCAAGGTTCATCTTATAGCTACTTAAGATTCAATCATTTTAGCCTAAAAAAATTAATTGAGAGGGATAATATTGTTTTAATACTCAAATTCTATTGAAAGTCGACATACATATTTTTCGTGTATATTAGCAATAAGTCAAACACATGTTAGCAAGAGACACATATACGTTACAAGAGGAATCACAATGTTCATCAAATGTTCACTTGAGTAGCGATTTAGGGTTTGCAATTTAGGCCTGGCATTCACGATTTACAGTTCGTTTAGACGTCTAATGTAAGACAATTGGTGTCTTAGGGTTCTTCCCCATGATTTTGTTTAGGGTTCGCGAATTAGGCGATTTGGGAAATTGGTTTCATTTTTCAAGCGTAAGAAGAAATCATGCTTTCGTATGAAAACACATCCACCTTGTCTGGATGATGACGCCGTCGGTTACCACATGGAATTTTGTCAAGCCACGCTGTATAATTTCAAACAGCTTGGGGGCTTGTGATGGATGGAGAGACACGTTTATAAGTTCAGTGACCATTTAGCAGCAAAACAAAGTTTAGTGACTATTACCTGACATTATACTAAGTTCAATGATTAATAAAACTTTTTGCTCCTTATAGAATGTATTAGACGAGAAACTGATGCAGGACAATCCTATTTCAAAGGATAAATATATATTTACAGAGGAGGGTTTACCGAGTGGTGTCTCCCCTTTCACAATGTATGACGGGCCTCTCGTGT